GTCTATTTTATCAGAAACAACAATCGTCAGAGGAAGTGGGCGATAGAGAAAGACAAAATAGATTACTGAGACTCGTATATACATACCCACATATATATGTATAAATATATGTATGTGTATATGCATATACAGACATATAAATACACACACACACACACATATACATACATATATATATATATATATATATATATATATATATATATGTACGTATATATATATATATATATATAGAGAGAGAGGTATATATATATATATATATATATATATATATATATATATATATATATATGTTTGACTAAGTCATTCTAAAACTTGAATTTTCATTTTGCGAACGCATTTTTTGTAGATTTGCTTCAAATCATTGTACTGCTGAATATATACATACATATATATATATATATATATATATATATATATATATATATATTAGCAGCATGGCCCGTACGACTCATACAACAATCGCTATCACTTTTGCCCTTCCTTATTTTTAAAGGAGTGCCCTTTGCCGTGCTGATGTTGCTACATGCCTTACTTCTTGCCTATCTCACACTTCGAATTTTTTCTAATCTCTATACTAAACATTAAATTTGTTACGAAAAAAGTACTAAACAAAATGAACTCAAAACGATCAGCTTTAAAAAAGGACTCGTAACTGGAAAAACCGAATGAAAAAAGAACGTTAACAACAAATACTGTTTCACACCAAACATAGTTCTGCGGAATCAGAATCAACGTTGAGTTTAAGCAAGCGAATGAGCCAATTGGAGTAAAGTGCCATGCAGATTTAAAGTCTACCCACTTTTGACGAATGCTGCTATCGAGTCTTTTTGCATGCTAGCGTGTTAATTAACATTCGTGTCAGTCAACTGTTAGATCACACGCTGGACAGTAGAATCTTCCTGCCTTTTCGTGGCAGCCAGCTATTGGCTCTCACTCTGCCCAGTGGAAAATAGCCACAAACTACATGAAAACTGCCGTAGAAGCATGAAAACATCGATTATTTCTCCTATCGATGGGAGTTGGGAAATGCCATCTCGGTCTTGGCTTCCTGCTAACTTGGAGCATGTGCATGTAAATTTTGGCGCAAATCCGTCGAAAATTGCGGTCGTGCATTCGTTACGCACACAGACACACATCCTGCCTTTCATCTTACGAACCCATTCTTTTGTAAATTTACTTTGGTGCTTCAAGTCAAGTGCATATCTATATCAATAAGTGGGTGTGTACAGACATATATATATCTGAGATGAGGTATTATGTACACTATTTACATTTTTCTGATAATTCTCCTTATCTTTCTCGCCACAATTATCAGAACGTTTCGCCAGGTGGTTGGAATGTCGAAATGAAGCCTTTATTTCGCTCACTGGTGTAGATCGTTCCAGTTCCCGTGCAACGTTTAATGGATGTCAGTTATCAGTTATCTCCTGATAATTTCCCTCTCCAAGTTCTCCACTACCTTAAGTCGGTATTGAACTCACATTGAAGATGAGGGACACTAGTCCGAATAATGTAAATATATATATATATATATATATATATATATATATATATATATATATATATATATATATATATATATATATATATATGTCTGTGTGTATATTTGTGTGCGTATCCCGTTGATCAAAATATTAAGAAACAAAAGGGTTAAACAATATAAAATACTGTTAATTTAATCAAAATATGTTTGTGAAACATTTACATTTAATTAGAAGATATAGTTTCTCAACAAACACGAAAATTTCAAATTTTAATTGATTAACTTAAAATATATTGAAAAACGATTTTCTGGGTGTTGCTCGATGTAAATGAAATGGGAAATACAGAACAAATAAGTCATAACGAATCTGTATAATTCTCAGTATATTCTCCATTTTTGCGAATTACCTCAATGATTATTAACTTCTGCAAGGGGGTGCTTAGGATGCTCACCCTGGATGCATAAACTGCAGCACGAAGAGCATCGACAATTTCAAATTGCGATCCAGATTTATAAACATCCTTTTCCATCCATCCCCAAACATTCTCGACTGGGTTTCGATCTGGAGAGCGTTGTGGATTGCAATATTGTCATAGATGAGGGCCTTCAGTAACCATCCCTTAGCATGTCAGTTTAACTAGCATATATATATATATATATATATATATATAAACCTAGTGAGCCAGACAAACCTACCGAGGTTTCACCTAAGCGGATCGCCAGGGAAAGCTTAGGTGAAACCTAGGTAGGTTTGTCTGGCTCACTAAGTTTATCTAGGTCTGCTCTACGGTTGTATTGAGCTCTTTTGTTAGTTAGTTTATTCGTATCGGAGTTTTTTCTTTGGGCTTCAAACCTGTATCTGTGCAATTTTTTTTCGACAGAAGTTCATGTTTGTAGCTCTTCCTTTTTTAAAACCTTTTTTTCCCTCGAGATTGATTTGATTATTGGCAAATCAAAATTCGAGGTTTTTTCGAAAAGTATAGTTACCTATATATATATATATATATATATATATATATATATATAAAATATAATGCATATATGTAATATATATATATATATATATATTGGAACGATATATATATATATATATATATATATATATATATATATATATATATATATATGTGTGTGTGTATCTGTCGATGACAACGTATTAACGTATATTTACTTTGTTACTTTAATAATAATATAATATAATAAATAAAATATAATGTTATTATTAATAATAAAAATTATCAAATATTACATTTAAAAATAAAACATAATATAACAACGTCAATATGAACTATAAAAAATAATTTAAATTTAATTTCCAAGAAAATTTACAAGTGGAAAACGAAGACATAAAACAAAAGCCAAATTTCATGAGCGTGCGCGTGTAAAAAAAAAGTTACATTCATAAATGCTTACGTCTACAAAACGAATTAAAAAAACACGAAAGAAATTAAAAAAAATTGGTAACAGGTTTTAAACTGGTTCTGTTTGAAGAATGGACATTGCTAAGAATGTTGCTGATATCCCCTGAAGAGTGGACGCACAGGTCAGTCTTCGAAAACTCTAGATTCGAGATTCTGAAGGAAGCATCAATCACCTAAGTGACAAACATTTACTGATGTTAATTGTATTGATGCTTTATCTTTGATCTGTCCAGGGTATGACGATAAAATACATCCGCCTTCTGGGTAAGACGATAAACTACATCCAACAGCAAGGCCTCTGATCAGGAGGTTTTGAGGAGCATGGAACCACCTCTTAATTGTTGGTGTTCCCAGGTCCAGGGTGGTAGCACCTGTTAGTGTCCCAGCTCTGTTATACATCAGGACGGTCGTCTTCGAGTATAGAATCCAGGGGTTAGCAGTGAATATTTCGGAGACAGTAGGAAAGCGTAGTTCAGGTTAGCAGTGGATATCGCAGCAAAGTAGCAGAGCGTAGTACTTCCTTCTGTCATCTTCGCCTGACAAGTTAGCACTGGTCATCCCGGTAGAATAAACAAAAATGGCCCCCTTTATACACGACGAATTGAATGCTCTACGTCTTCTGATTGGTTAACCTTCTATCGGTAGTGAGTCAAGGCATTTGGACTAACTCACTAGTTATATGTGTACATACATATACACAAAAAACTGTAATACTATGGGCAAATAGTTAACCCTGAAACTGAGGTAAAAAAGCATTATGAAAGTGTAAAACTAGGTTTGAATACCAGAAATACTTTGTAAAAAATTATTACCAGAAATAATTTTTTGAAGAAAAATATTACCAGCAATACATTTTTCTTTTTTAAAAATATTACCAGCAATACATTTTTCTTTTTTAAAAATATTACCAGCAATATATTTTTTAAAATTATATTACCAGCTAAGAATTTTTTGAGGGAAAAAATATCAGAAATAAGGTTTTGACAAAGTAAAAAATATTACCAGGAAAAAAAGAGTAGTCCGCATTAAATGACCCATTGAGGTTGATGTGCCGTAAAACAAACCAAACCAAACCAATCTATCTTTGATATGGAGGACTTTATTGCAAAGACTACTTGTAATAACTGACTTTTTTCTCAGTATCCCACTGATTATCAGCATTTTTGGTTTCATATTATCTTTGAAATCGTTACAGCCTTAGTTCCTGAAAAATTATTTTCAGTTAGTAGCTCTTTTGCAAGATTTTGTTTTATCACATTTTCGCATCATTCACTTCTGCTATTAGATTTTCTAAAAAAAAGGAAAGAAAAATAAACAAAAAAACCCCAAAAAGTCTATTGCTTAGATCCCCTGAAATAGTGGCCGGACATGCTCGTCTGCGAAACTCTAGAGTCGTGATGCTGAAGGTAACGCCAATCAGGTAAATGACACTTTTACATATATATATATATATATATATATATATATATATATAGATAGATAGATAGAGAGAGAGAGAGAGAGAGAGGGGGGCGAGATGAATGGATAGATAGAAGGATTAAATGATGATATCAGTTTTGCAAATTTGTCTTTCAAATATTTAATCGCAAGAATCACTCAAGCGAGAAACGTAATTATCAATCTTATCTTTAAATTAATCAAAGTATGTTGGGCTTCGCAATAATAGCTTTTTCCCTGATAATCCTCTTTGCGTAATTCTTACAAACTTTTACAATACACAATATATACGCGTGAGCGAAAAAATCTATGTGTGCATTCATTCATCCATATATATATGTATATGTGTGCGCGAGCGCGCGCGTGTGTGTGTGTGTGTGAGTGTGTGCTTAAATGATCATTCTGAGATCTATAATCGTAATGGAGGAAAATTAATTTTGCTACACTGCAAAACTAATTACAAGAATTCTTGCTCCGAACGAAAAATGTTGCTTCGGGCTTTGAAAATGTTTACGACGGGAAAATTGAATCTGACTGCCTTTTCTAATGTCTGTGGAGAAGAAAAACAAACAAACTTTCTAAAACACAATCAATATCAATCAAGAGAAGAATAAAATAACACAAACAGAAAATTAAACGTAATCAAACCTTCCTTCATGTGGTCAGTTCTAATTATCGAATTATTTCTACTTTACTTATTTATAATAAGCAATACAAATGAATGATTTTTATTGTAATTATTGTTTGTGCTTCTCGTAAAGTACACACCGAATAATAAAACATAGTCTTACTACGAGGGTAGATTGAAATGCTCAAAGGCATATAATGCCAGAGCTCTGAAATTTTACATGCATTAATTTCAACTCTTCTTATTAATAACATCATTGTTTCTTTTTGGGTAAACTGACATCTGACAGTTCAAAGACTTCAAAAGTACCGATTTTTCTTGTGCAAGGATAAAATTTGGCACCGTGATGTTTCCCTGAACCTGCAGAAAATTGGTTAGTTTCCCAAGGGCATTAATGATGACATGATTTCTACATTAGGAGATGGTGCTCCAGATTTATAAACTGTTAAAAAAATGGACAGCTAAATTTAAAAATTTAGAGAGAGTCTTTAAGATAAGCTAAGGTGTTGAACGTTTCTTAACCAGGGATAGATTTTAGGTTCATCACTTTGATCTAGAGAGAAAGTGACAAACTATAGATTGGAATACATGGTCCACTCTTATCCCAAAGAAGGCAAGGGTCGGTTTATCAGCAGAGAAGCTGATGGCCTCATTTTCGGAGGTCATAAAAAAGACATTGTGTTTACTGACTATCTTCATAAGAATCACAGTAGCAATAGAGTGTACTATGCCAATTTGCTGAGGCAATTACGAAAGGCTATCGAAACCAAACGCCCAGAAAAATTGGTGAAAAGTTTATTATTTCATCAGGACGGTTGTTGCAATGACGGCTGTGTGTGAATTTGGCTTTCAACTGGTTGATCTCTCCACTTATCTCCTGATTTGAATATTTTTTTCACACCACGAAAAAAAACAATCGTCTAGGAAGAAATATAGTAGTAATGATAACTTCATATTTAATGTTGACGAAAGGACGAAACTTGAACTCGGCCCAGCGATTCTACTTTCCACGCAATTATAGGCATATTATTACATAAATAGTCTTGCCGACATTATTTAGAACACTGGGATTTTTTTTCATTTTATCTACTTTTGAAAATGAAAATATGACAAAATTGTTTGTGAAAATATCATTTAACAAACAGGTATATTTACCCGGCTTAAATGTGTCCCAAAGTCGGTTTAGCGTGGGAAGGGCCATACATATGCATTTGGTCAAAGGACAAAATTGATTATTGCCCAGCTCCGGCGACCACTGTCATGCTGACATTGGTATTACACCGACCGAACCTACTTATTTTGATGGACAATATGTTGCATCAGGGTTGGAATTCCTGGGGTTAAGCCAATTAGCCCGTTTAAAATGGAGAGTTTCATAGCTCCACAAGGACGTTAACAACGCCCCAGTAAATCATCATTGGCAATGGTTAACTCCTGTACCAGGTGACTATGATATTTACCATATCTTCCTGTTGAGGCGAAATGTGACACAAGGCCAAGTTTACTGTGGAGAACCAGAGCGCGTTCACCCGGGCCAAGGAAAGAAATTGCCCCGACCCCGAAAACGTTATTTACGCTAACCTCGGTAGCGACTAACGAACTCCCCTATCTAGTACAAATGTGAGGCACAGCAGTTCTCAAGGGTGGGGTACAACGCAGTGTTTATTTTTTCTCATTTGCGCCTCAGTCCACTGACGGAGCCTTTACTGAGCCGCACTCTACCCGAAGAGAAAGACGCAACTGAGAGATATTAAAACCCTACCCAGCATGTGCTATGTAAGTATATTTAATCAGCAAGGCGACTTCGGATCAAAATAATTTAAATAAAAGTTTGAAGAATAGACATTGCTAAGAATGTTGCTGATATCCCCTGAAGAGTGGACGCACAGGTCAGTCTTCGAAAACTCTAGATTCGAGATTCTGAAGGAAGCATCAATCACCTAAGTGACAAACATTTACTGATGTTAATTGTATTGATGCTTTATCTTTGATCTGTCCTGGGTATGACGATAAAATACATCCACGTCCTGGGTAAGACGATAAATTACGTCCAACAGCAAGACCTCTGATCAGGAAATTTTCTAGGAGCGTGGAACCACCTCTTAATTGCTGGTGTTCTCATGTGCCAGGTAAGTATATTTCATCAGCAAGGCGACTTCGGATCAAAATAATTTAAATAAAAGATCACGGGAGACGAACAGAATCGTAGGAATTACTAATTACTAAATCGCAATTGGAAAATCTAAGAAGCCGCTCTTATGTAATTCTAATTCTTTCGTATATTCTTCGTTTATTTTTGTCGATTTCTGATTAATCAAATATATAATTGGCAGAAGCACTCTAAAAGTTTTATCATTGCTTTTCACATTGAATGTATTAGTGATGTAATGGATAAGTGTTCAGAATTAGGAATAGGAGAGTCGCGTTTTAATTTTCAATCGAGTTCATTACATTTACACACTTCTCCCAACCAGGCGTTTATTAGCAGGGTAGGCCGAGCTCACTACACCTATTTGACAATCCGTCTAAAACAGTGGTGCCCAAAACTTTGTTTTTCCTGCATTTTGTCAATGAAAATTTGCTCGTGTCTCACCAAAGACAAGCCCTGATGAAAAGGCGAAAGCAGCCCTACGTAAAGGAAACATCAGAGAGAGGCTTAAATGGAGATAACAGCGGATTTGAACATAGAATATTATCATTGATGACTCTCTCATACAATTTACGGACTGTAGTTACTATTTTCTTAATACTCGATATAATGCAAAAGGTTCACAGTGATAAAATCGGTCAATAATTATTTCTAACTATTTATACTGGGACTCAAGCATGCAATTATAAGTAGTCCATAATAATATTTGAAATTTTAAAATCATATATATTTTTGGCATATGAAATTTTTGAAACTTTCTAAATCTTCGATTGTCTTTCAATCATTGCACTTCAGCTGGTATCCTCTTCCGCCTCACTTGCTATCCACTTCCGCCTCACTTGCTATCCACTTCCGTCTAACATGCCATCCACTTCCACTTCAGCTGGTATTCTCTTCCGCCTCACCAGCTATCCTCTTCCACTTCCATCCCATTCCGCTGGTATCCTCTTCCGCCTCACCAGCTATCCTCTTCCACCTCACCTGCTAGCCCCTTTCTGCTATCCCTCTTCCAGTCCACCTGCTATCCTCTTCCGCCTCACCTGCTATCCTCTTCCACTTCACCTGCTATCCACTTCCGCTTCACCTGCTATCCTCTTACAATTCTCCTGCTATCCTCTTCCGCCTCACCTGATATCCTCTTCCGCCCCAACTTCTATCCTCTTCCACTTCACCTGCTATCCTCTTCCGCTTCACCTGCTATCCTCTTCCGCCCCACCTTCTATCCTCTTCCACCTCAACTGATATTCTCTTCCACTTCACCTGCTATCCACTTCCGCCCCACCTTCTATCCTCTTCCACTTCACCTGCTATCCTCTTCCGCTTCACCTGCTATCCTCTTCCACCTCAACTGCTATCCTCTTCCGCCTCACCTGCTATCCTCTTCCGCCTCACCTGCTATCCTCTTCCGCCTCACCTGCTATCCTCTTCCGCCTCACCTGCTATCCTCTTCCACCTCACCTGCTATCCTCTTCCGCCTCACCTGCTATCCTCTTCCACCTCACCTGCTATCCTCTTCCACCTCACCTGCTATCCTCTTCCGCCTCACCTGCTATCCTCTTCCGCCTCACCTGCTATCCTCTTCCAACTCACCTGCTCCTCTTCCGCCTCACCTGTTATCCTCTTCCACTTCACCTTCCTCTTCCGCCTCACCTGTTATCCTCTTCCACCTCTCCTGCTATCCTCTTCCACATCACATGCTATCCTCTTCCGCCTCTCAAGCTATCCTCTTCCACCTCACCTGCTATCCTCTTCCGCCTCCATCTGCTATCCTCTTCCACCTCACCTGCCATCCCCTCATCCGCTTCCACCTCACCTCTATCCCCTTCCGCTTCACCTCACCTGCTATCCTCTTCCACCTCACCTGCTATCTTTCTTACCTGCTTCACCTTTCCTCATCCACTTAACCTGCTATCCCTCTTCCACCTCACCTGCTATCCTCTTCCACCTCACCTGCTATCCTCTTACACTTCTCCTGCTATCCTCTTCCGCCTCACCTCCTCTTCCTGCTATCCTCTTCCACTTCACCTGCTATCCTCTTTCGCCCCTGTCCTCTTCCACTTCACCTGCTATCCTTCCGCCTCACCCTGCTATCCTCTTCCACCTCACCTGCTTATCCCTCTTCCGCCTCACCTGCTATCCTCTTCCGCCTCACCTCCTCTTCCACTTCACCTGCCATCCTCTTCCGCCTCACCTGCTATCCACTTCCACCTCACCTGCTATCCTCTTCTGCCTCACCTGTTATCCTCTTCCGCCTCACCTGCTATCCTCTTCCACCTCAACTGATATTCTCTTCCACTTCACCTGCTATCCACTTCCGCCCCACCTTCTATCCTCTTCCACTTCACCTGCTATCCTCTTCCGCTTCACCTGCTATCCTCTTCCACCTCAACTGCTATCCTCTTCCGCTTCACCTGCTATCCTCTTCCGCCTCACCTGCTATCCTCTTCCAACTCACCTGCTATCCTCTTCCGCCTCACCTGTTATCCTCTTCCACTTCACCTGCCATCCTCTTCCGCCTCACCTGTTATCCTCTTCCACTTCATATGCTATCCTCTTCCACCTCACCTGCAATTCTCTTCCGCCTCACCTGCTATCCTCTTCCACCTCACCTGCTATCCTCTTCCACTTCACCTGCCATCCTCTTCCGCCTCACCTGCTATCCCCTTCCGCTTCACCTGCTATCCTCTTCCGTCTCACCTGCTATCCTCTTACGCTTCACCTGCTATCCTCTTCCACCTCACCTGCTATCCTCTTCCACTTCACCTGCCATCCTCTTCCGCCTCACCTGCTATCCCCTTCCGCTTCACCTGCTATCCTCTTCTGTCTCACCCCATCCTCTTACCTTCAACCTGCTATCCTCTTCCACCTCACCTCACCTGCCATCCTCTTACACTTCACCTGCTGTCCTCTTCCACCTCACCTGCAATCCTCTTCCGCCTCACCTGCTATCCTCTTCCCTGCCCTCATCCATCCTCTTCCACCTCACCTGCCATCCTCTTCCCCCTCACCTGCTTTATCCTCTTCCACCTCACCTGCTATCCTCTTCCACTTCCCTGCCTGCTCCACTTCCGCCTCACCTGTCCTCTTACCCTCCTTCCTCTTCCGCCTCACCTGGTATCCTCTTCCGCCCTCTTTCCTATCCCTCTTCCTTCCCCACCTGCTATCCTCTTCCACCTCACCTGCTATCCTCTTCCACCTCACCTGCTATCCTCTTCCGCCTCACCTGCTATCCTCTTCCACCTCACCTGCTATCCTCTTACACTTCATATGCTATCCTCTTCCACCTCACCTGCTATCCTCTTCCACCTCACCTGCTATCCTCTTCCACCTCACCTGCTATCCTCTTCCACCTCACCTGCTATCCTCTTCCACTTCACCTGCTATCCTCTTCCACCTCACCTGCTATCCTCTTACACCTCACCTGCTATCCTCTTCCACTTCCCCTGCTATCCACTTCCGCTTCACCTGCTATCCTCTTACAATTCTCCTGCTATCCTCTTCCGCCTCACCTGGTATCCTCTTCCGCCCCTCTTTCTATCCTCTTCCGCCCCACCTGCTATCCTCTTCCACTTCACTTGCTATCCTCTTCCGCCTCACCTGCTATCCTCTTCCGCCTCACCTGCTATCCTCTTCCACCTCACCTGCTATCCTCTTCCGCCTTACCTGTTATCCTCTTCCACTTCACCTGCCATCCTCTTCCGCCTCACCTGTTATCCTCTTCCACTTCATATGCTATCCCTTCCCCACCTCACCTGCCCTCTTCCGCCTCCACCTGCTATCCTCTTCCACCTCACCCCTTCACCTGCCATCCTCTTCCACCTCACCTGCTATCCCTTCTTCCTGCCTTCCACCTGCTATCCTCTTCCACCTCACCTGCTATCCTATTCCGCCTCACCTGCTATCCTCTTCCACCTCACCTGCTATCCTCTTCCACCTCACCTGCTATCCTCTTCCGCCTCACCTGCTATCCTCTTCCACCTCACCTGCTATCCTCTTCCACCTCACCTGCTATCCTCTTCCGCCTCACCTGCTATCCTCTTCCACCTCACCTGCTATCCTCTTACACTTCATATGCTATCCTCTTCCACCTCACCTGCTATCCTCTTCCACCTCACCTGCTATCCTATTCCGCCTCACCTGCTATCCTCTTCCGCCTTCCAACTTCTATCCTCTTCCCCTGCTTCACCTGCTATCCTCTTCCGCTTCACCTGCCACTCTTCCCTCCTCTTCCACCTCAACTGATATTCTCTTCCACTTCACCTGCTATCCACTTCCGCCCCACCTTCTGCTATCCTCTTCCACTTCACCTGCTATCCTCTTCCATTCACCTGCTATCCTCTTCCACCCTCAACTGCTATCCTCTTCCGCCTCACCTGCTATCCTCTTCCGCCTCACCTGCTATCCTCTTCCAACTCACCTGCTATCCTCTTCCGCCTTACCTGTTATCCTCTTCCACTTCATATGCTATCCTCTTCCACCTCACCTGCAATTCTCTTCCGCCTCACCTGCTATCCTCTTCCACTTCACTTGCTATCCTCTTCCGTCTCCCCAGCTATCTTGTCCACCTCACCTGCTATCCTCTTCCGCCTCATCTGCTATCCTCTTCCACTTCACCTGCCATCCTCATCCGCCTCACCTGCTATCCCCTTCCGCTTCACCTGCTATCCTCTTCCGTCTCACCTGCTATCCTCTTACGCTTCACCTGCTTTCCTCATCCACTTAACCTGCTATCCTCTTCCACCTCACCTGCTATCCTCTTACACCTCACCTGCTATCCTCTTACACTTCTCCTGCTATCCTCTTCCGCCTCACCTGCTATCCTCTACCGCCCCACCTTCTATTCTCTTCCGCTTCACCTGCTATCCTCTTCCGCCCCACCTGCTACCTTCTTCCGCCCCAACTTCTACCTTCTTCCGCCCCACCTGCTATTTTCTTCCGCCTCACCCGCTATCCTCTTCCGCCTCACCTGATATTCTCTTCCACTTCACCTGCCATCCTCTTCCGCCTCACCTGCTATCCACTTCCGCCTCACCTGCTATCCTCTTCTGCCTCACCTGTTATCCTCTTCCGCCTCACCTGCTATCCTCTTCCACCTCACCTGCTATCCTCTTCTACTTCACCTGCTATCCTCTTCTGCCTCACCTGCTATCCTCTTCTGCCTCACCTGCTATCCTCTTCCGCTTCACTTCATTTGTTGCATGGTTCTTTTTTTCCAATTCGCTGACAAACGGAAAACCCAAATTTATGTGCCGACAAAGGATACCGAGATTTGATTAGCTCAAACTCTGTAGCCCGAAATACATAAAACATATGGCTGGGTTTTCTAGGACTTGCGTCTCATAGGTACACCCTCATCTGGTCTCCCAAGCATGATTACCTTTTCAAGCTGAAACCATGAGACGAAAAGCTTGGCCTGTATTACTCTCCCTTTTGATTGAGAATTCAAATTTGAATAACGACCCAATACTTACTACTGTGATTTCGAAACTTAACCTGAGTATTTACTTCACTGACCTCATCGAATAACAGATTTCGATGACTGACACTCATTGCTTAAAAAAGCGTTTTTTGCTTAAATATATGAACAATAATATAAACCGTTAGAGTGACGTTTAGATTTGCTTTCTGGTGTTTCCTATATTGACTGCTGTCTGTTCGATGCCTCGTGTTTCTAATTGAAAATTAACCGTTATAATTAATTTTAACATCACTAACAAGCAATAAAAGTTAGCTTCTTTACCCATATGCCATGCCCCTTCTGGTTGTTGATGATCATGGCTCTCCACAATTTCCTTGGCTTTGGAGATCTTAGTAAATTTTCTCTTTTCGCTATCTCTCCTAAACTCTGTTCTACCAACCACACACACGTTAGGTAGGTTACACACTGATCTTCGTCACATCATCCCTTCAATATGTCTTCTGATTCTCAAATTCCCAAGACCACCTTCTTTCTTTCTTTCTTTCTTTCTTTCTTTCTTTCTTTCTTTCTTTCTTCTTCTACTTCTTTCTTTCTTTCTTCTTCTTCTTTTTCTTTCTTTCTTCTTCTTTTTCTTTCTTTCTTTCTTTCTTCTTCTTTCTTTCTTTCTTTCTTCTTCTTCTTCTTCTTCTTCTTCTTCTTCTTCTTCTTCTTCTTCTTCTTCTTCTATCATGGCTCCATACAATTCCATGTCATTTTGTATCTCTTCATATTTTTCATTTCCCAATCTCTCCTTCAGTATGACCTGTGAGTGTCAAATCTCTAAGCACTCTTTCCTCATTATGTCCGCTAGATATTTCAACTGTCTCTTCCTGGTGTTATGTATCTTCCATTTTTTCTAGTGGTGTTCTCAGCATCCTTCTGTACAACCACATTTCTGTTGCCTCAAGTCCCTTCGTCATCTGTGGCGAGATTGTTCAGCACTCTCTGTCATATAGAATGATTGATATCACGTAACAGTTCAGTACTCTTTTCGGTCGGGCATTTGCAGTCGTCTGTTACAAAACATCCAAGATATTTAAAATGTTGTACTTGCTTGATTTTCATATCTCCAATTTGTAATTTGCGTATTTTTCTCTTTCTTTTTTGCTAACAACCATACATTAAATCTTCTTTCAATTGATTTTTAATCCTCTCTTCTCACTTTCTTTCACTGTCTTCCGTATTATTATTATTTTTTTTACCAACGCGCTGACAAACGGAAAATCGGATATGACACACACCCAAATTTATGTGCCGACAAAGAATACAGAGATCTGATTAGCTTAAACTCTGTAGCCCGAAGTGGATAAAACATATGGCTGGTACTGTAAGCTGATACTTTCTGTGTTTGCTATCAAAACTGTGTCATCTTCAAATCTTACGTTTTTAAGATTATGGTCGCCAACAATGATTCCTGGTAGGACTTATCTCATAATCACTTCACTGTAAAGTTTAAGTAAGTCAATGAGAAGACATATCTTTTTTCGTTTGTATATTTACAGGATACGATTTCTATACGGATGCAGGCTGTTTGCTCTCAGTATAGGCTTTTTGATTATTCTAACTGCTTTCCAAAATATGTCATGGCCACCTAGCAGTTCCAACAGGTCTTTGTTACGCAATCTATCTAATTTTAGGATAATATATAAAAGATACGTATATATCCGTTTACATTTGTATTGTTGTTTCTGCTATTATTCTGAGCATATCGTGTAATAATATTGCTAATATTATATTGCAAATGCACTTTATTGAATCTGCCATATGTAGCTGATATGCTGACGACGATATCAGTAAGTAATTTATCTTGTTTGATTAGATATCTGGTAGAATATTGGCTTGGTAGTAAAGGAGATTGTTCGAGATAAACACCGGGGTATTTATTTTTTGCAGATATTTTTTTTAATTTTTCATTGCCGTCTAAAAACTTTCTCTTACAAAAAAGAATTCCATATATGCTTGATATTCTTATGCATGCAGCATCTAAAATAGATAAATACTGGATCTTTGTGAAAACGTTTATTTGAATTAAACTGATCCCCAGGCCTCATGGAACACAGATAAAATGTGGTACGGAAAATATCAATGGATAATAATTTTTTAAAAAAGTCTCCTATATAACAAATTAATATATTTCAGTATAACTTTATACACAGTGAGATATCGATAAAAGGTAAACAAGTCACTCAATGTGACCACCGTCATCGGCCACCACTTTCTCCAGGTGGGCCCAGAAGCTGGAGCGACTCTATCCATATTGGGTATGGCATCAATGATGGATGTATTGAAAGCCACATTCGTGTTGTAGGTCCTGTTGTTCATCTCCCTCTCCAAGATGCATCACACAAAATAGTCGAGAGGGTTAAGGCCTGGCGGTGAGTGGGGGTATAAATTGGTCTACCAATGGTACGGTGAGCAAGTGGCCCCTCTATGGGCATATAAGATTTATAATTCATGTCCTCCTCAAGAATACGCCCGATTGTTCGTCTGCTGGTTCTCAAATCCTTGGTGATATCCCTCATGCTTTTGCTAGGGTTCTCCTTGACAAAATCATCAACGTTGGCGACGACCATGGGCGTTCTTGTGGCGTCAGTGCTCTTCTTACGAGTCTTGCGTTTTTGCCTGAAATTGTCCATGTCGTCTGAGGACCCATATGACTTTGCGATTTTATAGACCATACTTTTAATAGTATTTAAGCCATCCAATGATTTTCTTTATTTAATTAGTGAAACTTTTCATTGCTTTTATGAATAATATATATTAAAGACAATATTGTCTGAAGAAAAAAAATCGATGAAAAATGAATTTTTACATTTTCGATGAGAAAATTTTTAGGGATTATTATTATTAAGTAAATCTATATTTACTAATCATATATTTTAAAGTTTATTACAATGTAAAGAGCCCGAATATTTTTAAAGAATTTCAATTATTTCTATATATGTATATCGATGAAGAATTTCTTAAATATGGATACAGAAACTAATAAATCTATTAAAAAAAGGCCATGTGTCTTAAGGGTTTTTCCCTTATAGAAAAAAAAATCAAAATTCTAATGAACATTGTCGTCTGCTTTACCATTGATAACTGTTATCACGTTCGGCGGTCAATCTGCCGTCAATAAATTGACCAGTGTTTAGGAAATTCTTATATACAAAATTTTATGCAATAAGTAAGATTTTCTTTCAAATCAGATTAACCTAATTTTAACTTTGCTAATTTTCCTCAAATAATGTTTCAGAATATATATATATATATATATATATATATATATATATATATATATATATATATATATATATATATTTTTTTTTTTGGGATTTTTTAAACGGAAAATTAAGCTTTATTTACAAATGCCTAAAAATGCCAGACATGATCGATTTTACTGAAAAAAAACAACTCTATTCCAATCAATATAATTTCTCTCTGAAATAGACTAAAGTATTTTGGTTACCGGATATAGTATATTTAATCATTTTGCATTCATTTGGAGCTAAGATGTAAACTTCAGGAAATATTTTTATTTTTTAAATTAATTTAAATCCTTACGTTTACCGAATTCGTGGAGGTACCTATCTAATCTCCTATATGACAGTGAAGGCTGTACAATTTTCTGACCGATGACGAGAGTTGAAGCGGCGGTTTTTTTACGGCCAAATGATAATAACGAAACGGATAGAACATAAGAAGAAAATAGGAACTGCAAGGAAACTGAGAAAATTGGGAAAAAATATTCAAATTCTTAGGATGCATAACGAAGAAAAAGGTCTTGGAGAATTTAATACTCACAAGATATAATACATGTGAAGTACAGAAATCTGGAAGGAGCACGCTTAATGAGAATGGATTACCGGACAACAATGATGAATAAGGATGGTAAAGGACCTAAATATTGGAACATGTGGAGAGCTACGATCGCCCACGTCTGAAGCGACACCGTAGATAAAAGAACTACAATATATCTCCTTCCATTTCGTCTCTTCCTCTCCATTTCTCCGCTTTCTTTATGTCTACCTTGAGAATTTTCGCGAAAAGAAAGATCATCAAGCGATACAGTCAGGAAGACGTTGATTATTGTCGAGATTAAAATTTTCCCGCCTAAAATATTCGAGGACGAGCGAAAAGGAAAAGAAAATGGAGTTTGGTGTGTCGTTTTATTTAGCAGCTGCACGGCTTAACCGATTAGAAAGTGATCTCAAGCGTTATCTTTGAAACTTCAAAATAATTAATCACCTTTTTCTATTATAAGGGGAATTAAATTTAGT